TTCGTTGTTTCAGCAACATTAAATTTAAAAACTGTACTTTTGAGTTAAAATATATATTTATAATTTTAATAAATGACAAATTAAAAAGGCATGAACATTTTTTTGTATCGATGAAAGTATCGAACCGAACTGTGAATTTTGTGTATCGTTGCGCCCCTAATAATAGGTTTTGGGAAGTTTTTTTGACCACAGTAATCGTGAAGTGAACATCTGGTATTGTGACAGCCCTATTTGGATTTATTGTGTTAAGCACTTAAAGCTTTTTGAATATTTCTTTACTGTTTTTTCTCAGGTGGAGTACCAGGCTGGCTCCAAAGGCAGTCTTCTCCCACAGCGCTACATGAATGAGATGGACAGCGCTCTGATCCCTGTCATCCATGGGGAGAGTGCAAGTGTGCCACAGACTGCCATGGACATGGAGTTCATGTTCTATATCACACATGCCATTGAATGTGCATGTAGACCATGACACACTCAAAGTTTTGGAGGCAAAAAAACAAAGCTGCAGCTTCAGGCAGGATGCTCGTTCCCAGCTGGAGCAGCAGCCACCCACACAGGAAGAAAAACATTTCCACCCTGAGGTTTGTGATTTAGAGGGATCAATGATTGGATGATGGTCTTCTGTTAAGAAGCCATTGTACTTTTGAGTGTTTCATGTTCACCAAAGCTGCTTTAATACAAGAAGCCAAACACTAAACAAGAAATATGACAACATGACCAAAAGCAACCAAACTATTCAAAGCGCTTTCCTCTGCTCTGCCTTCCAGACTCCCTGCTGGCCTCCGTCAGTGTGGAGTACCTCAGTGAATGTTTCCTACAGACAATATGGAAATGGCTCTCATTATTTTTACATTAAAAGTAGGGACATTAATGAGCGTAGACAGGTGATCAGGTGCTACTGTAGAGCTACTTGACATACATAGTTGGCTTGTTCTAAATGCAGACATCACAGGGCTCACTTTCTCTCAAGGTACTATGCTTTCATTTGACATGATGGTTGTGATGATACTGCACAGGAAAACAATGGGCCTTCTGCAGGAAACCTTTTTGTAACTATGTCCTAGGGCTGGGCTGATGAATGATATTTGATTTAAATTCCAAGTTTGCCTTTTAATGATAATTTATAAAAACTAAACCAAACTTCATTACAGTGCACTTCTCTAAAGGACACCTATCCACGTGCCCAGAGTTTCTTCCGGTTTAACTCAACTCAAGCTAAGAAAAGTAGAGTGTTTGATCAACAAGGTCTATCTACAGGGAGGATTAACAATCGCCTTTATGTCTATATTGCTCAGGGTCTGTTTTTTTTTTTCTTTTTCTCAATTGAGTCTGCTTTCTGCAACAAGTAACAGTTGGATAGCAGAGGCTTCAGCTCTCTTCCACTCACAATGTAACTGCTATGCAGGTCTCTTGGTGCACACACATCCACTGCTGCTCCCTGCCCCGTTTGCAGCAACAATCTCCCAACCAGCATGGCATGGACCAGTGATGCTAATTTTAGCTTTATGTTAAAAACAACTCCCAATTATTTCCCAGCTGCCTACTAAAACACTCTGGTACTCTCACGACTCTCCCCTTTTTTCATTTATATATTTGTTTTTCATTTAAATTATATTTGACATTATATCCACTGTTAACAATTATTGAGTTTTTACATAAAGTGTGTTCATTTTGTGTGACAGAATCATTGGTTTAATTGACATCTAGACCTGTCATGCTTTGTTACTTGTTCTGCTTTATTTATTGTCAGTTAAGTGTTACACAACAACTAATCGTTGATGCACAACAACCTAACAAGCTGACAGTGAATAACGTGTACAAGTTATGTCAGACTTTAAAGAAAAACGACAGCCATTATGACAAAAAATCCAATGAAGATGTATCCAAGTCAAAGAAACACATTCCAATGTGGATAAAAGCAGAGACTGTGCACTACATTAAACGACAGGTCTAGAATATACATGAATTTCACACAACAAAAGTGCAGGATGCGACTCATTCAGGGGAGGCAGCCTCACCAGTGCAAACTGTTAGCCCAACTGAGCTGCCCAGATGTTTGGCCGTGTCTAGATGACACTTCGTAATCCTCTCAGCTGAAAGCATCTGAAAAACATTTCTCTGAGCCCTGATTGTACAACAGCAGCAATAATCAAGGATTTATTTATTCTGTCAATTATAATTCGTAATTATAAGGCCACACTTTCCTTACAAGCAATGAGAGTGATGGAAACAAACCTGTGGGAGTGAGTCTTTCCTGCATGAGGCCCAGTGTGTGTGTCAGTAACATAGCTGAAGTTTGCGTCTGGAACTTTACAAATGTTTTTTTTATTCCTAAAAAGTGAACATATGACAGGTATATTTTGGCAGGATTAAGAGTGTTGCCCTACTGACCTTGATGAAACTACAGAACTATTTGTATAGTAGTATTACAACTGGTGGAGGTGAGGGGTTAAAATATTCTCTTGTAGTTGAATTTGTCTTTCTTGGTGAGTAGCTGACGTTAAAGCTGCTCATTACTGAGCTTGCAGGTGTAGCTCTTCTCAGAGCTTTAGTTTCCATCATCCTGCTGGCACCAAAATTGATCCAATAGTATGTTTGTCTTAAAATGTTTCCATTATTATTTGATCATCCATCTTCACACTGAGGTTTCATTTCACACTGAGATCTTACAAAAGAAAAGATGATGTCAATCCCGACAGTATTTCTCAGAAGGAGGTGTAAATTTAACAAAGAGGATGCTATATTAATTGTACACACTCTGCTTCTGGATTAAAATGTCCAGTCAGGGGAGTTAAAACAAAAAATCCCCTCCTGTTTTTCACAGAGAAGCTCTTTCAGTGTTGATGACTTCTTGCCAGATCAAACACAAAATACTAATGATTATTTTCCCCTTTAAGATGTTTTACGTTATCTGCTTCAGTCTCAGTTAAATGTTGTTTTTGCACAGCTAATGAGAACTCTTTCATTCAGTTCATCTCACAACTTTTACTAGTTATTTAAAAAAATGAAGATGATTCTTTCAGATGAGAAGATTGATTGCACTATTATCAAGTCACTAACACAGATTGTATATAAACGATGGAATTGGCCACAGTAATGTCACCAGTTATGTGGGACTGAAGGTGCCTGTTTTTATTGTGAGCATTGTAGTGTTTTTGAATTGGATGTGAGGCGTGATGGATGGATCAGACTGAAACTATTGCTATTCAGTTTGGTCGCCTCCTGTTGGCCATTTATAAAAATTCAGAGTTAAAGCTCTTCCACATTGGCTCCACTTTACAAGCCCAAAGGCTACCTCTATCTTTTATATAGTCTATGTTCACGAATTAGCTTAGCTTAGTTCAGTGTGATGGGTAGAAACGGGTAAAACTGTGTAGCCTGGCCTCATTCAGCCTTCAAGAACCATCAAAGCTTACAAATTATTCTGTATATTTTGTTTGATGTTTAGAAAGAAGGATGAAAGCCACTGGAGTTAATTGAGTTAATTGGTGGTTGGTTTTTAGTCTGTTTACATGGATAGAGCAGCTAATTGTCTTTACCAGCTAACATCAGATTTAATGGCTGCCATTGACTGACACATTCAGTGACAGGTAACAGTAGCAGTGACACACTCAAGTATTGTCACCTTAATTCTGTGCCGACTACAAGATGCTGAAACAACTGGTTATTTTGTTCTAATGAAGACTTTGGTTTCTGTTGCAGAAAAGGCAGAACAATAACATTTTAATTATCAGCCAAATTATTATTTTTAAGTGTTGTTATTGGCCCAACTTTTCAGAGCTAATTCTCTATTGACCATTTCTTTTAAGATAAATAATTCCTATGCTTGGTCTCAATTTTGTTCATAATATTAGTTCACTTCATGTAGTACTAAAACTACTACTACATACTGACTTGCCTAGTATGTAATTTTGGACTGATTAATTCTCAAATGGACATGTCACGTTCTGCTCTTAAATGAAATGCCATTCTGAATGTTGGACTCCGGTTGTCCCGTGATCTACTGCATGTCCTAAACTTGTTCTGCCTCTGACCACCCATATGGACAATTTGCTGTCTGCTGCTCTTAGCTAGTAAGCTAGCAAAGCCACTATCATCAGTGCTGATGATTACAGCCTCCTGCTGGCTGAATCTTGTTTGGTGGTCCTTTTCTATCATTCAAGTAGCCAAGAACTGAGACACGACGGTGGTTTCCAGTCTAAATTCAAGTCTCATCTAGCAGCTTTGTGGCTTTAGTTTAAAATTAACACACAAATATAAGCGTGGTATCAATCTTCTCATCCAGGTTTTGTGCAGAAGGACAAAAAAAGCTAATTTCCTCAGTTTATTGATTGGAGTAGGAGCTGTTTTGTACTGGGTTCATATTTTAGCATTATTTAATGTCTTTATAACAGCTTTAGGCACTTTATAAATATCAGTGTGCTGATGTGTTAGAAAAAAAAAAAGGTTTGGTTTGACAGATGCCTGAAGGCAATCTGGCAAACCAAACCTTTTTTTTTTTTTTTTGGTAATGATATTTCTGGATCCAAACCGGCAGTTATCTCTTATGAGTCGGAATAATAAATGCTCCTGAAACTCAGAGTACACAGAGGTTATGTCCCTGTAAAGTGCATTCACTTTTGTGTCCACTGTTTGTAGCAGTGTTTTGCAGCCTCCATTTGTCTAAAGCTAGGTCTGAGTTTGTTTGTTTTCTTTCTTTCTTTTTTTTTTTTAGGGCAAAGTGCATTGTGTCACATCTCATCTCACTTTTCAGTCAGGACTTTTTTCCCAAATGTATAGATGATATCCTGTATACATAGAGATTGTATCAAACCTTGTGCATTTTTTAAATATTAAAAGTTATTTTTGAAATGTTGGTATAAAAGAAAAAAAAGTTAATATTTTTGATAGAAGGTTGGCTACATTAATTCTGCAGTTTGTGTAGCAAGCTGTTTGAGAGGAGAAACAAATCAAGAAATGAATTAATTGTTAGAAGGTGGAAATATCTAATCTCAAAATACATGAAGCGCTTTCGTTTGACATTAATGTTTTTGGTAAAAATCTGAATACTGAGCTTAGTTATGAACTCTTCTGCAAGTCGTGCTCTAATTCTTAGCAACAACTGGGTTATTATGAATACTCGTGTAAAGACTTGTAAACCTCCAGGTTGATTGCAGTCTTCTAGATGTATGAAGGTTTATATACAGGTTTTTTTAAATCACTGAAATCTGTGAATTGTTGATTAACTTCTCCATGTGAGATATGTTTATTAAACACTAGAAAGGTCAACTGCCGTAGCTGACTGTGTTGATTTTTAGCCATGCATGCAATGACTGAATGTTAAATTGGGAGGCTTTCTAGCTTCAGTAGAAATCTCTCACCCTTTGGAGAGGCCGTGATCTATTGCCTGAAAACTGCATTCATGTACACCTAATCTGCAGATGATATTTTCTGCTAACATAAATGGTTGTCCAAAGATTCAGCTATAAATCTGACCTGTAAAAAACCTATGCAAATGAAATGTGTTCAGTGGACTGAATAAGCTGAGTCTGAATCTGTATTTATATTGAATCTGTATTTAAGGTCCTTTACTAAACACCAACCACACTTTAATCAGGAGCTCACAAAGACTTACTCTTTTCCACCTAAAGCCGCTTTTGTTCTTTATGGTGGATTATCTAAAGTTGTTATTATTACCATTACCACCATTATCATCATTATTATTATTGTTGTTGTTATTGAGTAGTTTGAAAAAGGAAAAATGTGAGTTTTGATTCTGATGTAGAAAGCGGGTATGAGGGGAAATTGTGCCGTTTATACTGCCGTGCAAACATCTCTGAAACGTACGGCAGTGGTTTATGTAAAACTTATTGATTTTTACAAAGTCCACCTTTTTTCCCCTCCATTACAAAATGGACATGTTCTCCTTCCACAGTCCAAAGCCTAATAGCTTTGGATTTTGGGACGAGAACATGTCCATTTTGAGAAATATTTTGGGAGGCAAATTATTCAAATTTCTTTCTCTCTCGGGTCGTTAAAACAACCTTCCACTGTGTGAAAATGAGAAGTATTGATTGATTTGATGTAAGTTTTTGTAAATCATCCATTTATTCATAAGACCAGCTTTACTTTTTGAGGACCCTGCGGTCTGCATCCTAACCAGTTTCTGAATAGCCTGTGTATTTAAAGAATAAAAGAATTTTATGAAAAAACAAAACTCAACCTGCCTGTTATCTTTCTGAAAGTTAAAAAAAAATTAAAAATAAAATATTTAACTGGAGTTTCCACTTGCTTCACAGAGTCAGGCCCACAGACTCGCTACTGTTGTATGCTGCACAGCCAGGCCCTGATCATATGCTGGGGATGTATATATGTAAAAGTTTTCCGATGTACACTGGTGCATGTCTATACAAAGCTCTAAAATTCAAAGCCCCAATATTAAAGTGAACTCCAAAGTTAATGGGGATTTGGTGTAACTTAATTAGCAATGGTGTGATAAGTGAGCACTTAGAAAAGTTGCACTTATGGGCCTTACTGAACTGGCCCAAAAGAGAGGTGAAAGTGAACTAGTTTATCGGGTATCCACCTGACTCTCCCTATTAGTCATGCCATCCATGCCCACAAATCTGTCAGGGGAAAAAAACAATGACTTCTGTTTTATCTTCATTCAGTTGAGAACAAACAAGCAAGTATCAGCTGAAGAGATTCAGATATAACAGAGACCTTTAAGGCCTCAAAACAGAACCTTGAGGTACACCATAGGGAGAAGTGGAAGAGGAGCTTTACTTGGAAGCAGCCACAGAAAAGGGTCATTCAGATAAATAAAACCACTGCAAAAGCCAAACCCCTGTACACACAGTATCTCAGTCGATTGAGCACAATGTGATGGTCAACAAAATCTAAAGCATTTTAGCAAAACTCCCAAATTACACTTATAGATCACATAAAACTACACAGTATAAATGAGACAATACTGTCCGATGACATAACACATGCCAAATAACAACAATAAAAAAGGCAGACTTGGTTAATAGAATAAAAGCGCATTCAGTCTGCACTAGAATTAAACTGGTGGGGTTTTTTGCACTTTTGCTTGAAGGTAGCTATAGAATAAAACCATTTTATCTCTGTTACTTTTATTGCATTACTTTAATTAAGTTTGTATAATTTTTAATGATTATCATTAAAAACATTATGGCGTATTATCAACTTTTATTGATCCCTGGGGGAAATGTACAAGCTACCCAGCAGTGTATGAAGCAAATCAAAGTAGCAACATTAAAAGGATTACACTGATAAATGGGCATGTCCTGTATAATTAAGTGACAGGATTATTTGGGGGTTGCTCATTGTGCAGTAATGTGAGCCTTTTTGAATGCCTCACCTGTAATCAGGTTTCACAAGGTGACAAAATATAAACAGATCTTTAAGCTAAAAGATGAAAGTCCACCTATTTGTGTGAGTGTTTAGTGTGTGGGCAGATCTCTGTGTAGGGATGGGTCGGTGTGAGGAGGTGTGGCTTTTTTACTATTCTATCTCAATTTTCCCCAAGTGCTGTTCATTCACATAGGTTGCTTCCATTAAACACACAAGGTCACAGAGATGAGTGGACGAATAGGAGACCTGAGCCCAAAGCAGGCTGAGATTTTAGCCGAGGTAAGACATTTACAATTAACGTTATGCAGATATATATGTTCAGTTGAATGGTTTAATTGTTCTTATCTATCAAATTGTTGTATCTGTGGGCTTGAGGTAGTGTCATATGCAGTAAATCATTGACATTGGTCTTTGGTCTCATCAAAATTGGTTGATGTTATGCTGTGAGTTTACTGGGATGTATCTTTTTTTTTTTCCACACAACGAAACACACCACTTTATGTTAATGTCTTGTCTTGTAACATAAATTTAGGGTGGTTGGTTAAGCCTAGAGGAAAGTTTAACTATTCTCTTTTTGAATAAATTGAAACTACAAATAAATTTTTTTAAAAAATCATTTTGTAGCTTGAACTGATGCGGCCAAGTTAGTACTTTTTGGGCCATTAACAGTCTTTATTATGCGCTAGGTATCTCCTGGTTGTAGTTTCATATATTTGTATGACCAACATATATTTGATTGCCTGTTATTGCACACTGTTATGTACAGACATGAGAGTGGTATCAAACCTCTCTTACTTTGCAATAAAGCGACCAAGTCTAATTCTGCAAATGTAAAACTGTTCCTTAAATATTAAAATAACTTTGTCTTCTCTCTGGTTCTCTCACTTCCAGTTTCGGGAGAGGATTCAGGACATCCTTCCAAGCTTGCCTGCGCAGCATGATCACTACCTCCTGCGCTGGCTCAGAGGTGAGACTTGCATTTATGTACAACACACACTGAAACCACCTATTTATAGCAACAATCACCCAAGTCTAGAGTGACTAAAGACGAATGTAAAAAAAACAGAACCAGCTGGAAAAGATGAGTGACAATTAACAACAAAAAATCACGTGGAAAGGAGAGATCTTCGATTCAGTACACTAAATGTATGCCAGTCTCTCTTTTAAAGAGGCTGCCATATGTTTAATAAATCGGTTTTACTTTGACACATATTTCATATATGTTAGTGTTCTGTGTATTTACAAATATTTCAATGAAAGTGCTTAAATATTGCCACTTACTGTTAATTTATTCTTCTGCCCTACTACAAGAATGACTTTGTCAATCCAATTACTTATCAGACTCCAACCCTGATATGAAGTGTGCATTCTCACTGTTCAGGTGTGTTGAGAAGCTGTAACTATCTTAAGATAAGAAAGATAAGATACTTAACCTTGAGTGAAACACAACAAACATATAACAAAATAAGTGGAAAGGTATGAGGGTCAATAAAAGTTAAAAACGAAACGTAAACCAAAGTAAATTGACTCAATTAAAATAAGGATGAAGTCGGATGCAAATATGAAATTATTTATTAAATAACAAAATAAAATGTTTCAAAAATCAACAAAGGAAAAATCTGATTTCAAACGGCTTAATGAATATAAACGGCACATATCAGATGGCCCAGCGTAACAGAGGCCAGAGCATTGTGTTTGCGTCTGTTCTCTGCTGTAACAGTGAGCGAAAAGATGATTTTCTGCTACGCAGACATGTTGTATTTTAAGGACTATTGGGTGACATATTAAAGATTTCCTGTATCAGTACTTGTGGCAGCTAACAGACATAAAAGCTGTTAAAGACCCTCATATAGAGGCTAAATAACTAATAATGCTATAAATTAAAAGATTTCAGTAACAGGGGATATTTTTGCACAGAATGAAAGCTTGTGGTATACCACAAACTTTTCAAGGCTGCCATTATACTCTACAAGTATACTGGCAGCCTTATAATGCCTGGGGCTACCTTCAGTCTCTGGTAAACTTTGATATTTAAAGCAGTTGAGTAGGAATAATGATAATAATAATAATAATAATGGATTGGATTTATATAGCGCTTTTCAAGGCACCCAAAGCGCTTTACAATGCCACTATTCATTCACTCTCACATTCACACACTGGTGGAGGCAGCTACAGTTGTAGCCACAGCTGCCCTGGGGCAGACTGACAGAAGCGAGGCTGCCATATCGCGCCATCGGCCCCTCTGGCCAACACCAGTAGGCGGTAGGTGAAGTGTCTTGCCCAAGGACACAACGACCAGGACAGAGAGCCCGGGGATCGAACCGGCGACCTTCCGGTTACAGATACGCTTCCCAACCCCCCTGAGCCACGGTGGCCAAACAAACCTGTTCCGAACATGAAACTAAATCCAGTTTCAGTGCAAGAGTGTAGGCATACCAGAGCTGGAGGGTTCAGTATCGGCAGAATACTTCTTTCAAGGGACTGATCTCATAAATATAACCTATGCATTCATGTTGATTATCTATTATTGCCTACAAATTTGAGTTTTTCTTTTCTTTTTTGGGGGGGGAGGGAATACTGCATTATATTAAATTTCATGCCTCTAACACAAGAGGGGCAAAACGTTTTACGTAGTAAGTTTATTGTGTCATTTTACTAAACGATCTGAATCTGAAGTGCGTGGTATAAGGACTCCAGACTTTTAATAAGGTGGTTTTAAATCAGTCTTCTTGTTAATTTCCACTGCCAGTGAAATAAAAGTCATTGGGTAATGCATTAAACATGTGAGCTTAGAATGAGGGAGAAGGGCTCCCTTTCTCTGAATAGCATTGGAATTGCATTCTATCTGATGCTGTGTTTAAGGGTCCAGTGAGACCTAAAAAGAAATCAAACCTGACTGGAGATAAAGAAACATAGTATTTTCACATGGGCTTATACTTGGAAGGAAGTTTACTAACATACAAAAAATAATTAAAGATTTTATATAAAGGAAGTGGAGTAAATGAAGTAAACAAAATTTAAATGTGGAAATATACCTACCTCATACAGTACTCGAGTAAATTCAGTTATCGCAACTGATTATGTAAAGTGTAATAAATCAGAAATTAGAAGTAACTTCAGTTTTATTATGTTAGCTTGTGTTTCCAGTTATTAAGGTTTAATGAATGGTGATGATTTTTTATCACCATCTATTCTTTCCATACAAGCAGAGCAGCTGCAGGAAGAGCTGATATACATCAGAAAACATTGTTTTGTTTTGTTTTTAAAAACAACCTTTTCTGGCTGCATTAACTGACTTTCCATTCTTTGGAAAGTCAGTTTATCGAATAACCTGTCAAATTAATATTACTGAATCATGGTTAGTGGTGGCTCAAACAAAAGAGGACCCTTCTATCATAGGAATGTATCAGGATAAATTCTGAATGTATTTATTTGCATGAATAGTAAATGAAAATGTGCTATATGTCCAGTTTTCACATATGGCACATATAATCATTTTGATTTTTTTGTACATTGCAGTTGATTGACTGAAATAAATATGACCCAAACTGTTAATATTCACATTTTCTGTTTCTACATTTTGAATCTAAATTTCAGATTGATGTAAAAATCAACCTGAAATTTGACCTCATTCACTCTGCATTCACTCTGAAAACTTCTAATCTGACATATTATTCTGTGGTTTGCATGTGACATTAGTTTCTGTTGATGAGTAACTTGTTCCATGTGTTAAACAGCCTGTAGCTCCTGGTACCCACACACCAAGAAGCACTGCAGAATGAATGTAAACGTTTGTATACTTATAAATACTAAATTAATTAATTATTAAGCATTTACTTCAGTGATAAAGCACAGAAACTAAGATCATAAAGAACTGTCAAATGAACATAATACCAAATGTGAAAAAAGTACTACCTAATTAGGATGAAATAATTACTAGAATGCTCAATTAATAAACAGTAGCTTTAAACTACCATCAAAATGGGTTAAAAATTGCTTCCCTAACCTTAAAGAAAAATCACTCATCTTGGGTTTCTTGGTGCCCTCCTGATCCACCACTTGAAACTGATACTTAAGCTGTCGGTTGCATTAGAATTTGCATTACTTAGGCTAGCTAGGCATGTCTTGAAACTAGTTTTTGTGAATGCAAAGGTGCTAATGACAAGGGGGGAGGGGGTCTGTATCAAAGACTGAAATGTTTTTTATTTCCCGTAATCTGATGGAAAACATGTATTAAAATGAAGTGCATTTACATGCTGTAGCTACAAATGTCACTCTTTTGTTTACCCTCCATTCCATGCAGCTCAAGAGGGAAAAACTGCCCAGAAAAACAGACATGAAAACATGTTGTCCCGAAGACACTTGTGTTTTTAACAGAACTGCATTTTAAATTTCTTGTACTGATAAAAGCTGGTAAAGACTTACTGCTCACTGTTGCACTCTTTAACTGAAACATGATGCTCAAACTTGAAAAGACTTTCCGATAGAACATGTCTCCTCCAGCTTCTTAGCATGGACAGGCTGTATATAAAATATGGGCATGGATAAACTTGGACTCTTTCTAATGGCCAGCAGTGAGCCATTACTGAGTCAGACTCAAAGAAGTCTAAGCTATTGACCCATCAACTCTTGTGATCTGTGACCTCAGTAAACAGTTTGTTGAACAGTTTATGGTTTCAGTGGCTAATTTCAAGGCTTACTGAACACATCATGATGTTTACTTTTAGTTCAAAGGGAGGATAAAGCACCGTGAAACTGACCATTGGGCTTGCAGTGTCCCTCTGTTTCTCAGTAAGATCCACTCAACTTTAATCATGACTGAGTTTAAACACCAAGATGGTGACAGTGAAAAATCTCAGCTTGAGTTCTCTGCTGCTCAGTTTTCTCAAAATCCTGTGCTTTAGTTGGTATTTGACGATGTAAAGAAAGAAATCAGTAATTAACTGTCCTGCTTTTGACTACTTTCATGTGTTCTGTGTCGGCCTCAAAAGGTTAACCATATATTTTATACTTGAACCAGAGCAGGATGATGCATTATGATGCATTCAGGAAAAGCCGCCCCCCCCCCCCCCAAAAAAAAAAAAAAACCCACAGGAGGAAAGTTTTATTTTTTTGTATATGAAACATTCTTTTATTAGATTTGTTCATGTAACCTGTGAACTCAGTCATTCCATCTGTTGCCTCTCTTTCCGCTAGGCTAATGACCTACTGGCTGCCATCTTTACATGTGACCTGTTGTCTTATGTAATGTTTTAGCATTTAGTTAGATAAGCTTACCTTCCAAAAAAGTTGTGATATACTATTTTTATGTGACATATAAAGTGGCATATATGGCATAACACTCTCTACTAAAATGCGGTGTACTAACAACAATGCCCTTTGTTTTGTTTTTTAATCAGGTTATTTATGAAAGCCTTAGTCGTCTTTCAGTTAATCATTGATTTCTTACCTATCACTTTTGTCTGACAGTTTAAAGAGTATGAACATGGAGTCAATGCCATTCTCAGTGTAAATGTTTGTTTTCTGCTGTGCAAAACCAGACTTGGTCTTGGTCTCCAAGCTTGATCAAGAGTAAGCTTCAAAGCACTGACTGCTGCTGTTTCAGCTGAGCTACAAGTTTAATTAAGTTGTCCTGGTGATTTTTAAAAAGACTGTGATATTTTTTGTCTTCCTGTATTTAACAACACAAAAGTCAAACTGAGTTCTAAATCTTTATGAAGTATCATGAAATAGGTAGAGCTTTGAGGGCAGTCCCTACGAGAATCATAGTTTCTAATCATTTTGAGACTTGACACTAGCTTTAGTTTTGTCAAATTGTAAACTGCAGTAAAAGTATCATGTCAGCTGGTCAGTGCATTCACTCCATGATGCTACCATGTGAAAGAACACATCAGACTATACATTAGAGTTTGACTGATTAGTTTAAGGTATGGTTCGAGTGAAGAACAGATTACAGTCTGGGTGATCTGGTTTAGAAAGTTAGATACAGATTAGAATGCTCGTTTGTTGTTTTCACCTTTCACCAACTACAGCACCCATTGTACATGTGTACATGGGTGCTGGACGATGCTCCAACAGAAACCAGAACAGTTCTACAACAACAGCAGTTTGACACTGCATATTACCACCAAGGTCTAAATTCGCTCACTCCACACCACGCATGAATTGATTCCCTGAATCCAGGAGAACATCTGGATCTGAAAGCCTGTGATATGTTCTTGACAACCTCAAGAAAATGTCTCACAATTTTGCTTATTTCAATTTGATATGTATTTCAAAAATGGTAAATAAATCTTTGGTGAATTTGTTGATTAGGATTGCGTCCAAAAGTCACATTGTTATTCAAACCTTTTTTTATTATAATTTTTAAAATAATCTGACAAAGAAACTAACTAAAATACACACAACACCAATTAATTTCCCTGTTGAAGCTAATAATAGGGTAAAATGTTTGAAAGAAGACACTTTTCTAGCAATAGTCAGCTCTGACTATTTTAGATCTTTCTGAACAGAGAGCACAAACGCTCAGAAACAGTGTTTTCTTGGTTGGAGATACTGTTGCGGCATTTTGAATCAGTGACTTAGGTGATTTATGCTCTGATCAATAATGCAGGGCCCTGTCTGTTCACTCAGCTGTTTAAAGGTCCATAGTTCAGAGGGACTCAGATAAATGGGGTCGCTGTGTCTGCAGTTCAATATTTGTGTTAACCTTGGCCAGTCTCTTTGCTTGAGTAAAAAAAAAAAAAAAGTATCATAAGGTTTCTGTTTTATGATCATCAGATATTGTTGATGGTCTTTTAAGTTTACTTTCCTCTTCTGTATGCAGTCATGATCAATCTACTTAAAGGGCTAATTATTTGTATTAAAATGTTTAATATTGCTTGGATAGTATCATGGCTAACTTTTTAAGGATTCTTTTTGAAAACATTTTTTTCTTTCTCTTTTGGTGGTGATTTGTTGAGATGTTTGAGAAAAAAGGGGAGGGGGAAGAAAGAAAGATTTCTTTTCAGGTGTCCTGTAGTTTTCCATTTAAAAAGTAATAAACTGGCAACCCCAAACCAAATTTAAAAAAAAAAGAAAAAACAAAACTATAAAGGAAGAAATGTATTTTCTTTGTTCTTAGTTAAAATAGGTATTTTATTTTCCCAGAAGATGGTGTCTCCTCATAGTGTCTCACAGTAACCTGGCATTTCAGTGTTACAGAAGTGGCGTTGTCAGTTTGATTGTATGTGGCTAATGTGGGATTTTTTTCTTTTCTTTTTTCCAGCCCGTAGCTTCAATGTTCACAAAGCTGAAAGCATGATCAGGAAGGTAAGCTCTGTGTTGTTCAGACAGTGAGAGCCTGTTTGCTCTTCAAGTACCCAACTAACACCTAACACGTATTTCTACCTGGTGCTGCTTTTCAAATCTCTGTACTAAATGTATTAAATTCATTAAAACTGTATTTACCTTTTAGATATTACATAAAATGATGAGTTTATATAACACAGCGCAATGTTAAAGATTAATCCAGTGTTTGATTTGTGGCCCTCTTTCTAGGGAATTTAGTTAGTGACTCTTTTCATGTTCAAGGACAAAGTAATATAGGACAATGTATAGTAAAGTAAATTCATGGAATTAATGGATCAGACTTTATTCCTATAGTTTTAGGGAACCTAGTGCACATATTTCCAGCTATATATCTTTTCAGGATTCACAGCTTAAAATAATCCTCATTGTGATTGGCTGAGTGATAAAGTGATAAAGGCACAGGTAAGTTGGGCTTATGAAATACACAACCAGAACTGTGTAGTTGAGATGATCATATTAGTGATATCTGCTCTCACTGACATCAAACAAATCCAAGAGTGGAAAAACTTAGTGAAAGCAGAATGTTTAGACCAGTCTGAGGGCTGAGCATTGGGCTCACAGAGGTTACTTAATGGACTCTTTGTCTGAAATTCTGGACATATTTAATATAAGCAGCCAACCATTGTAACAGTATATATACTGTATATATGAAACAGAAAATAAAGTAAAGCATGAAAAAAGCTTCTTCCATTTCAAAACATGAAATCATTTCTAGAATAATAGCTATAGAGTGTCTTTGACAGCTGGAGCATTTGTGGGGATAGACATTACTCTGTGTTTGTCTGGTTTTTGTAAGCTTTAGTCTTTAACTTACCCAGCCTTGTTGTCTTCGACCTCTGCAGCATGTGGTGTTTAGGGAACAGATGAAAGTAGACACCATCCTATCTGACTGGAAACCTCCAGAGGTAACCTACTGCATTTTCTTTTTAGCTAATATTTGTGAAAAAGTAGTCTGAACTGAGGATGCAGGGGACTGTTGTTAAATGAGCAGTCTTTCAGACTCTTTAGTTTTTGAAGGTCACATTTTTTTCTTTATGAATCCATCTCTCAGGTGATTGAGAAGTATGTATCTGGAGGGATGTGTGGCTATGACCGTGAGGGAAGTCCAGTCTGGTACGATGTGATTGGCCCTCTGGATCCTAAAGGTCTGCTGATGTCAGCCACCAAACAGGACTTCCTGAAGACTAAAATCCAAAATACAGAGATGCTACGGCAGGAATGTCAAAAACAGTCTGAAAAGGTCAGCCAGGAGTTCTCTGTTCTTCCCTTTCCACTCGTCTCTGCTCGTCTCTTCTAATGTTACTGTGTCTCTCTCTCAGTTGGGGAAGTACATTGAATCCATCACTCTAATCTATGACTGTGAAGGACTTGGATTGAAGCACATTTGGAAACCTGCTATTGAGACCTATGGAGAGGTTTGTTATCAGTTTTTGTAACAATCACCCACTCATACACACGAAACATCTATGTGTAATTACTGCTTTTGGCCATGTAGATCCTCACCATGTTTGAAGACAACTATCCTGAAGGCTTGAAGAGGGTGTTTCTCATCAAAGGTACATAAGACCATCTGTCTGCATATTTGATTTCCACGTTCTGTTTTAGTATTTTGGTTGATAATTTGTATCTTTTGCTGCAGCGCCCAAAATGTTTCCTGTGGCCTACAACCTGATCAAACACTTTCTGTGCGAGGAAACACGGCGCAAGATCATTGTTTTAGGAAGTAAGACAACTTTTCTTTATCCCAGTGTTCTCTGAGTCTTTACTTGATCTTGATGCTAACATTAGCATGCTGAAGTAACAAAGCATAAAAAAAGTACTTGCAAAAAGCAGAGATGGGATTCTGAGACCACCCATGTGAAAGCCTTCCATTATTTGGCTGCGTCTAGAAATTCTGTCCATAAAAATTACAAACAGAATTGATGACAAAGGGCAGCCCTGGCGGAGATCATCATGAACGAGTCCGACTTATGCTATGCTTAGGCTATGCAGACCCAAGCTCTTGCAATGTTTCTATAAGGACTGAATGACCCGTAGCAATGTGCCAGACACCCCATACTCCTCCCAATGCACCTCTCACAGGACATTCCGAGGGACTGCTTTCTCCAAGTCTATAAATCACATGTAGACTAGTTGGGCAAACTCTCATGCACCCTCAAGTAGCCTTGAGAGGATATAGAGCTGGTCCGGTGTTTCACGACCACGAACCACACCACGGCCACAGCACAGCACAGACTTCGGCAGTGGACATGGTCTATTCTGACTCATAATGGTTTTGAAGCTCTGCTGGAGGTGTGTGTTGAAGATCTCGTGCACTGGGGCCTATACATTTAGGCATGCCAGGTCTGTCCAGAGAAGGGCTCGAGTTGTCAACTCGAGCCCTTCTCTTTACCCAAGTGTCCAGAACATTTGGCCGCAGGTCTGGTGATACAATTATAAAATCGATCATCGACCTACTGCCTAGAGCTTCCTGGTGCCATGTGGACCACCATGTTTTAACTTATGTTAAAACATGGTGTTTGTTTTGGACAAACTGTGGTTTGCACAGAAATCCAACAATAAAACACAGCTTGGGTTCAAATCCAGGAGGCCATTCCTCCCAATTATGCCTCTCACCCAGGGCAACTCTAGACTAACACAGAGTCCATCCCGGCTCCAGGAGACTGGTTCTAGAGCCCAAGCCGTGCGTTGAGGTGAGCCCAACTATATCTCATGAGGATGAGCTGGGACGAATCTCTGGTGGGCTCCTTCCCCACCAAAGAGTTGACTTCCCATGTCCCAATCTTGGTAGCTGGGGATCAATCCACCAGGGCTTCTGTGCTACCTGGCACACATTGCACCTGACCCCTATGGTCAATATGCAGTCTTTCTTATATTTACTATTTAGAGTTTATAATTTTACTCTTTTAATCTACACGAATGTCAACCTATAAAGGAACTAAGGTCATGAAACAAAGCAGTCTTATTAAACTAAATTAATAACTTTAAATTACAATATTGTGTTTACAGGTAACTGGCAAGAAGTGCTACGTGAACATATTGACCCAGATCAGCTTCCAGTGGTGTATGGAGGAACTCTGACTGACCCTGATGGAGACCCTCACTGCAGAACCATGGTGAGAGCAGAGGGAAAGACTGATTAAATACAATGCTGTTCCTCTAAAATTGGAGACTAAAGTGATGCGTGTTTTTGTGTATTGTGGTTGCAGATCAATTTTGGTGGTACAGTTCCCAAGTCCTACTATGTGCAGGATTCAGTGAAGGTTCAGTATAACAAAAGTGTGACCATCAGCCGTGGCTCTGTCATCCAGCTGGAGTATGATGTTCCTGCAGCCAGCAGCCTCCTGAGGTACAGCAGGTTTATTCTGTGTTCTGAGAACAATGAATCGCTGACTTGTAGTGTGTGTTTGTGGTGATTTAGTGATATAGACTTTAAAATAAAATAAAATTAAAAAAAATACTAAAGCTGCCACTCATGATGAATTCATTATTGCTTGTCAGGTGGCAGTTTGCCAGTGATGGAGCAGATATTGGGTTTGGAGTGTACAAGAGGACTAAAGAGGGCAGCCAACAGAAGATAGCTGAAATGCAGCAAGTTCTACCCAGTGAGCGGTACAATGCACACTTGGTCCCTGAAGATAGCTGCCTCACCTGTCCTGAGCCCGGAGTCTGTAAGTAACTCACAGCTGTGTGTACAGGTACTTTTGCAGTAATGTCTGCAGAATTAGTCTGTAACAATGAAAATTGCTCCTTTCATTTTGCTTCCAATGCGCCAGACTTTCTTGTTATTTTTTTCTTTAAGTGGACTTGAGCAACAGTTCTCCAGCTTTCTGAAGATCTTTCAAACTCTAGTCAAAGACCATTTATATAGGAATCCTTTTTGTTTGTTTGTTGAGGCACTTTAACAATTGACATGTGAATCATTTAAGCATATTCAAGGCTCCTAACTCAAGGGACATAACAGATTATTTAAATTCAATTTTAAATTGTAACTTTACGTACCTCGTTACTAGCAGCCTGTTGTAAAAACACAAAGCACATCATTTATTCCATTTTCCTTAGCTAAATGTCAGACTGCCTTTCAAATCACCAAAGATAACAGTTTAATAGGCATACAATAGTACTTTTGCACTAACAAGGTGATTCCCAAAGAGCTATAGGCCAAAAACTTGGCATATCTCAACATTGTATGCAGTGGGTGGAGGAAATGTGAGGAAACTGTCAAGTGGAGGACAAAAGAAAATGTGGCAGACCTAAAAAAAAATTACCTACAGCAGATGAGAAGTTGAGGTATACCAAATTACATAAAAACTGGACTGAAAATCAAGTGCCAATAAATGTGTAGTGATGACTCCAGATGTGAAATTTTGGTTTAAATTGTCATTAATATCAGGACAGAGGTACAATAGTGAGTGTCTTACAGTCATAAAACAGTGAAGGCTCTCGCTAATCCAGCATGACCTTTATGTGAAAGCAGTGAGGGATCATCTGGACAGAGAATGTAGCAAAAGGCTAGCTCTTCTTTGGATGCTATTGGGTGTTGACATATTCAGAATCAACAAAATTCTTATTAAAACACAACCTGTCACATTTATAGAGTGATTTAGAGGAGTAGCTGTAACGCGGTGATTTCCCTTGTGGGATCAATAAAGTATTTTATGTGTTTACAGGATGATAGCTTTTCTTAGCTGTTAGTGACTGTATCCTTTGCTTTGTGCAGATGTGCTGTGTTTTGATAACAGCTACAGCATCCTTCAGTCCAAGAAAGTGAGATACAAGGTTGAAGTTATTCCACCGGCAGATGTTCTGATGCAATATCCACGCAGCAGTGGTGATGGAAGGCTACAGTGAGGACACCCACAGCTGAGAGGACACAGTTCTGATCTTTGTTACTAGTTAGCTATGTCATCCCATCGGGGCTAAATTACCTCCACTTCTTCCACTGTGTTCAGTATGTATGAATTCATGATACACACATGCATACATTTGTTGTAATTTTATTACGAAGTGACTTAAAACCAGGCTGAATTTGGGGGAGTCACAGCTGAATCTGCAGCTTTCTTTATCTTTATAGAACTTTTCACTGATTAAAACTTGGAGTTTACCTGACTAATTGCTAAACAGCCCATGATAGCTGATTTTACTGGTCACTTTGAATCAGCAAAAAAAAAAAAGTTTGTGAACACATGTCATTAACAATGTCACCAGTCAGACCAAGATGATCATGTATTTGGAGATGTTTTTGTATACATCTGATTCATTTTGAGCTCTGTTTTTGGTATCTACCCCCTCTCGAGGGAATTATCTGGGGGGGGTCAGCCCCATTTTGATCACAAACTTTATGTAATTCATCTATATGTAGTCTGTGAGTTAAGCTTGTGAGGGAAGTTAAACAAAATATCTAAATCAACAATCAATATATATTTCTCAATCAAACGCTAAATCATGAGATAACTTATGAACATGTATTTACACATACATTTAGGACACTGTACACATTATAATTAAACACTGTTAGGTGTGTTTGGCTTCTTAAGGCTTGTAGTTAATGTAACAGATGAGTTACTTTAATTGGAGAGTTTTTCACAGACTTCTGAAGGTTTACTTCAGCATCTTTTAGTGGTAGCTTTAGCTAGTATTGAGTGGTACATACAGTATTATTAAGGGAAATATTAAACAAATTGAGAGAAATAACAGGGTTGGTTTGCCCACGGTGTAATGTAGCCATTGTTTTCCACTGCAAAGAAGAACCATTCAGAACAACAGTGACAAAAAGAAATGTTTACTTTATACAGCATTTCAAACCAGAACCACAATTAACTGTACAAGCTCATCATTTAATACTGAAGGACCACATTTGTAAAGATTTACTGTGTTCTAGTAATTTTTGTAATTAATATGGTAATATATTAGTAAGCTGTTAATATATACGTGCTTTGTGAAATATAGTATAATATAAGTGCTTTGTATAAGTGCGTCAGTTTGGGATGGATACGAGACAAAAGGCTTAAGTTTTAAAAGGCCCCCAACATCATGTTTTTGTTGCCATATTTGTCTCTTTATAGTCATCCTGTCTGTGTAGATGTGTTCAGCTCATTGTGGTAGTTTTGCATCTTGTACATAGTTTCTCTGTCTTAATATTGACATGTTTTGTTATGTAATCTTGGCCTGTTCTATGAAGAGAGTTGAACATATCCAGGGTGGCTTTTTGTAATCTGGATTCATCCACTAACCTGGTTATTAGCTGGTTATCAGCTTGTACATTTCATTATTTTTTTTAAAAGAGAGTTTTAGGTTTTATTCTGTTGCCTGGATTGTTATTAGCTGTTTGAGAGCATGTAAAGAATAAATATAAAAATAGAATTCAAATGAAGGCTTAGAGCTGGAATTTGGAACATATCCTGCTCAACAACAGTACAATTTACCATGGCAATATACCCTCATAAGAAGCTAACTACCTTCATGATACAAAACACGCCAGGATTAACCAGTGGAAATATGGTTAAAGAGGTTAAGTAATACAAACTTCCGTGTTAGAGGAAACACACTGTAAAGTAATACAGTATTACAAGTGTACATTTTAGGCACTTTGGTGGGTAAGATTGGAACAGAGCTACTACATTTAAAAAAAAGTTTAGCCTATTTGAAAGAAAGAAAGGTGTCATAAAAGCAGACTGTGTAAATTAACCAACTTAGCAATATCACAATTCTATCTTTTAGACATGTGAGAATAATGGATTGTAACCGACTATTTCTTTAAATAGAGTAAAAAAAATAAAATAAATAACACCAGAACGTAATGGGTAGGCTTAGTTTATGTGCAAATTGCATATAAAGTCCACAAGTACAAATAGTTTTTCTGGTTTGGGATTGTATATTAAAGCTTAAAGAACAATAAAATTGCTGTAAAATTGTTTGGAATTAAAAGAAAAAAATCTAATCTTGGTGTAGGCTCTGCTTGGCTTACCTCTACCTGTAGGGAGAGCCCCTGAGCAACCCATCCACTGACTGACGTTTCTGTATTTGACTGGTGTATGTGTTAAAAGCACATGATACTACAAACATACACAGAGGCAAAACAGTCAAATTACTTTCTGGGGCTATTTATCAAATCAAATTCTGAAGTTTTGTTTGATAATTGTACCTCCACTCTGCTCAAACTGGATAATAATGGCCTTTATAGTGCAGCAATCAGTAATTATAATCTCTTGAAATTAAAGATGTACAGAATTATAATTGATCCACAATCTAAAGAAGCATGACGTCATGATTTCTTAATCATTGGAAACTCTGTCATTGTGGAATTTTAATAAAGAAATTTTTATTCATAAATACAAACCTTTTGTACTGTTTTTTTTAATACAGTATCCCTTATGTTCAAGCACATGCAAGTGTGGTATTACAGAAACACATAATAATCAGTATGTGACTGCAAACTTTCAGCTTTAATTCTGTTTGTTTAACAAATACTTTAGATTAGACACTGTTTGGGAATTACATACATTTTTTTTTTTACATAGTCCCTCATTTTCTGAAGCGTCAGTGACTGCCTGAAGTCTATAAGCCATAGACATCACCATGAAATCAAACCATGTGAAAGGAACAAACGTTCACTTCTTTTTAAAATTCGCATGCTGTGACTAAAGAAAAATGTCTGTGTCTGTGCACATCACTTTAAAAGAAGAACTCGGTCAGAATGCTTCGTAATGTGTTCAGTTAGGGTTGTTCCCTGGACCCAGGCATCGGCAATACAAAATAACAACAAATAAACACAAAAAGACTCACATAAAGAGACAAAATAGACAAAATGGCACAGAGACAAGACGATATGATAACCATTGTATTTGTATTAATTTTGGCACGTTCGGCCCCTCAGAAATAATTTTACCTCAGACCTAGTAAGTACAGTTTTGATAAGTGGTGTGGCCACTGGGTGACGCTACAGGAAAGGACTTTTAACGTTATTGGCTTATTACATAACAGCTAATTAGCGAATATTAGGATCTAATAATAAATAAAGATGGCTAATAAACACTAAACACTGTGCACTGGGGAAAAAAATCCGTGACAATGCAGTGATGCAGTAATGTAATAGTCAACCTCGGAAATTATTAGGCTTTTCCACATCTTAACTGAACGGATGCAGACAGCTTATGTAATTATTATCATTATACAAACGGGCTATATCCTGGCTCCACAGAGTTTGTCTCTCAGGAAATAAATAAATAAATAAACGTCCCCTGCATCTAGCATCCCTGGCCGGGCATCGTGCCAGCGGGATGCAGGCTGGTGCAGGATGAGGATGGAGGGCGGGGTGTACACAGATGCCATGTGCCTTTACATAACCGCAACTGGCTTTGGATACAATTGGATGAGATATCGGTGGCCAGGAACAGCCGCAGCAGCAGCAGCGTCCGTCCTGCTGTGTGCCGCAGTGCCCCGAGCCCAGCGGGGAGTAACTTGGCCGGGGACTGAGGCGGGGGGAGTGTGAGTGTTGCTGCAGAAAAATGATAGCGAAGCGTCACCAGGAGCGTGTGTGACCTGCAAGGAGCGTGAGTGTGTTTGTTTATCAGCTCTACATGTCGCTGTCCGGCAGTCGGTGTTAATGTGTGTGTGTGTGTGTGTGTGTGTCCGTGTATGAGTAAGCGTACGTGAGAGATAGCGGGAATGGGGGGAGAGGGAGGAGCTGCTTGGACATGAGTAAATGACGTCAGCTCCCAGGTCGCCGAGCACAGAAACAAACATGGCGACAGAATGGAGTGGACAGCAGGGTTACATTCTCACCGTGGTTATCTGTCTGTGGAGCGGCCGGACAGAGTCGGTGGCAGCCGCTGGGCCCGGTGTCAGCGGTGGAAGGGGAGGCGGCGGCGGAGGCGGTGGGAGTCAGGTGCTCGGCATGAGGCTGGAGAGGAGCAACAAGCCGGCCAGCACCACTGACGAGGGTGTCATCCAGGTGACCGAGGAGAGCTCCGTGCAGCTCCGGTTTTACGGGGTCCAGCTTCACTCGGGCGCCTGGACTCAGATCCAGTTCACAGAGGTCAAGAAGGAGGAGGAGGAGGAGAAGGGGGCGGTGGTGGCGGCGGCCCGGGGCGGCAGCGGCATGATGGACGCGCTCGATAAAACTTGTGCGGATTTCACGCAGGACATCACCGTCGGGAACTTCATGAACGTGAGCAGCCGGGGCACGTCGGGACTGCTCAACGTGCACATTAAGCCGCTGCGCAAAAGCGACCAGAAGAAAGAATACGCTCTGTGCACGTTGAGCACGGACGGCAGGTGGGTGCAGCTGGGGGACAGCGATGGCCGGATGCTGGTGGTGGAGGAGAAGAAGTCGCTGCTACCCATGTGGCTGCAGGTCATCATGATCTCGTGCCTGCTGGTCCTCTCGGGCATGTTCAGCGGGTTGAACCTGGGGCTCATGGCGCTGGACCCCATGGAGCTGCGGATCGTTCAGAGCTGCGGCACCGACAAGGAGAAGAAATATGCGAGGAAAATCGAACCGATCCGCAGCAAAGGCAACTATCTCCTATGCTCGCTTCTCCTGGGTAACGTCTTGGTGAACACCACCCTCACCATCCTCCTCGATGACCTCATCGGGTCAGGTCTGGGCGCCGTGGTCGCCTCTACAATTGGCATTGTCATATTTGGGGAGATCGTCCCCCAGGCGCTGTGCTCCCGTCACGGGTTGGCTGTGGGAGCCAACACGATCCTGCTCACAAAGTTCTTCATGTTCCTTACCTTTCCTCTGTCCTTTCCCGTCAGCAAGCTGCTGGATTTCCTGCTGGGACAGGAGATCGGCACTGTGTACAACAGAGAGAAGTTGGTGGAGATGCTTAAAGTGACAGAGCCTTATAATGACCTGGTCAAAGAGGAGCTTAACATGATCCAGGGAGCCCTGGAGCTCAGGACCAAAACTGTGGAGGATGTGATGACTCCCTTAGCCAACTGCTTTATGATCCAGGCAGATGCTGTGCTGGACTTCAACACTATGTCAGAGATCATGGAGAGCGGATACACGCGCATACCCGTGTATGATGAGGAGCGGTCCAACATCGTGGACATCCTGTATGTGAAGGACTTGGCCTTCGTGGACCCGGATGACTGCACAAACCTAAAGACCATCACCAAGTTCTATAACCATCCTGTGCACTTTGTGTTTCATGACACAAAGCTGGATGCCATGCTGGAGGAGTTCAAGAAAGGTGGGTGTGCATTGACATAATTTAACACCTGATGATGTTTTGTTCTGAAAATCTGCAACCTTCATATCACCAGGGACCTAAACCTGTGTGAGCTCGACAGCCCCCCCTCTCTCTGTTCACCAGCACTATTGATTAGTGGAACACCACAGCCTACACACACACAAAGCACATTTCATCATCGGGGCACATGTTGTACTACTCTTATAAGGGGTCAGGGTTGAGCTTTTAACCTGCACACACCTGATAAGGCTGTCATGAGGGCAGTGTATGTTTATGCATTCACTTATTAAAGATTGGAGAGCTTTAATTGTCCCATGCACAACAATACAAGTAGCATAGCTGCAGTATAAAATTGAAACCCAATATGAAAAGGAATAAAAAGAAACTAGACCGCAAACACTTATTTGGATAAACTGTCATATAAATGACAGTTTATTTAAAAAATCCATAATATGTTTCTAACATGTGAAATAAGAAGTGCATCTAAGTTAATGTTATCATTGTGTCTGCAATCAAGTGATTAAGTCAAACATAAGGCCTAGATTAGTGGCTATGTGGCTGTTGGCCGTTTGGTGCCACTGGCTGATTTTGAAGGGTACAAAAATTACCAGTAAGGTACATACATACATTTTTCGCTGTATGTGAAAAAAGTAGTATCAAGAGATAACGAGATTAGCTGTGGTCCACCCACCCAATTTCTGAAATGCTTTTCTAATTCGGTGCACATCTGAATATTTGATAGTTTTCCCTTCATACTGGTGATACTAGGATGATAGGATGAATACTACCCAGAGCTTAAACCACAATAAGATGGTTACAGTCAATGTGCGCTGCTGGTGGTCTCTTTGATATCCTAGCATTTCTTTTGTAATGATGTTAGCCTGGCTCAGTGTGGAAAAAGTTATTGACCACATAAAGCTAAACTGAGAATCTAATTGAGCTTTATGTGGTGAGGGTGACACCCCCAAAGTGTTGGGTCATAAAATTGCTTAGCAATATCTTGAACCCGCAGTTCACACTGATGTAAAGAAATACTGCAACTTGCAGTTCAGACCTAAGAAAAAGTTATCTTTTCTATTATTTTTGTTTGAAAAACATTAACAATTAATTTCTAGAAAAACTGCTGATCTTGTCCTTTTCAGTGTCAGATAAGAAGTAGGGCAGCATTTACTTTTCTTATCAGTAAATACGCATATTTAGATAATTAATGGCGATTCATTTTTGCCTTCGAATAATTCAGTACACACTCTTCAGCCACTTGGAACACTAGAAATCTAATACACAGCTTATACTTTGTTTTCCAACATTTTAGTTCTTATGTCATATTCAGATATATATCAATACACTTTAATATAAGAAACAACAGTAAAAGGTCATGTTTCTGCTTTTATGATATTTTTATAACCGATAAATCTGTTCATCCTATATTTTTGCAGAGAATTGACTGACACATCACTATGCTATAAGAGCGCAGTTTCCTTGATTTCAATTATATCCACCCCTCATTTGTTCCAAGACACCATGATCGTGATGACAAAAATCTTCATTTAAGCCTCCACAGTGGAACTTAATGACTCCCATGGGTGATGTTATGGTGGCTATCTCCATCTTTTCTGTTCATGAACAATATGCCAAACTTTAGATGTTCTCAACATTTTATCCATTTTCAGTCATTTTCGGTTATTCCGTTAGCATTCTGGCTGTCTGTCAGGGTTATATTGTTGATTGTCATTTATGCTTAGAAATATGCTTAGAGGTGTATAATCGATTGTGTAGTGATAGGATGTGTGATCCTTAGTAGTCTACAAAGACTTTGTGTGCATTCCAGAGTGTTCTGGCATACACACTCACACCCTAGGGTCATGAGAGATCTCGTATCTTCTCTTACTGATATTCTGACCCCCCCCCACACACACACACACACACACACACACAGACGGTGCTCTTTGTTCACATGTGTACCTATGTTAATGAGCCTATGTATATTCATGTAACCTCAATAAAAGAGCAGTGTTACGAGGGAGCAGACAAGAGCAACTGGGGTCAAGCGAAGGAACCGCGTTTGTCCAGTTGGTCTTCCTCGTATACGAGAAACATAAAGTACTTTGCCTAATCGTGTCTTGCTTTGCTGTGTAGCAGAATTGTCTTGAACGTTCCAGCAAATAGGTTTATGCTACGAACCTATCACTGTCAGTTTTAGTTTTTTGGAACCATAAGAGACTAGATTTAAATAGAAGCTGGCAGGCTTTATCGGTTAATGCTGTCAGGCTTGGTTAGAGTCCATAAACTGAACAAATTTATTGCACAGGCACGGATACCTGCTAATTAGACATAGGTTTCAAAAATCAAACTTCAGTCACCAAATGGTCTATACCCCACAGTTGGCCATATTATTTCGCAAATTATTACATTAAAATGCTCCAGAAGGGACAGATAGTGCAAAGATAGAGGACCAGTTCATTGACTCCAATTAATGAAGATGTCGCCTAGGAGATCCCAATCAGTTATACCTGATACCCAAATTAGCCACACCACTCCAGCATCCAAATGGATATATTGTTTTTTTCTTTTTTAATGTCACCCACAGTACAGTTTGTTATGAAGGAGGAAAGTGTTCATAAAGGACAAAACCATTTTTATGCTAAATAGTAAAAATGCTTTTGATAATGTAAAGTTGGGTATCAACCTCAAGTTACTTCTAGAGGAACTGCAGTTTTTGTCACTTCACATTTACTTCATTTTTCATTCCAAAGCTTCCCACTTGGTGTTAACATACTTGAGCTGTGCAAGTTTGCATATAAGCACAGCTCAGTGATAAAGATAAACCAGAATTCGCACCATTCAAAACAATGTCAGCAAAAGTTAAAAATGAATTTGTGGCAGGGCTGTGATGTTAGATTGCATTGAATCTGCCTAATAAAGTGGCTTTAAGTGAATGTAAAAGTAATTTTTTAAAAATGGGGAAAAATCAAGAATACAAATGTCACCATCAGAAGCATTTCAGCTTACCAGAAACGACAAACTAAAATATTTATAATTGTGTGCTGCAATGACTTAAACCTAAGTGGCCACAAGTTACTCATTTAATTAAATCTGGCTGTGGATACCACTGATCATCTCTAGTCAGAGATCATCTCTAGCCTAATCGCTCAAATCATCTGATTTGTGCTGTTTGATGGGACGAAAATCGGCACGTTCAGCCGTACAGGAGTAGTGCCAGAAATCCACTGATATACACACCTTGAAAGCTGAGCTTAATATCATAACAGCCTTGGCACTGCAGCTGATTGTGATGGTCTTGCAACATATCAATGTGTTTTTTTCCCCCAGAGACATTAAAAACATTGCATTTCATTCTTTGACATTACATTTATAAGACTGTAGATATGAAAACAACTACATTATGAAGCTCAGTCATTGTGGAACTGACTGCATGCCTCATTTCCACCCAAAATTGCAAACGAATTAGTGTAATTTCAGCTGTCATTGCAAATAAGCATCACCTTCAGCTGTGGCTTTTTATAGCATCAAAGCCTAAGTCCTGCATGCATGATGCATAGGCCTAAATAAAGTGCCATTTGTCAAATTACCATGATAATAGCAAAACAGGAAATCAAGGTCTCCATAGTATTTTAGGCAATCTGATGTCAATAATTCAGTTTAAAAAATTGGATTTTTATATTTCAGCCCATTAATCTTCAACAACATGAGCACATTTTTGATGAGAGACACTTTTTGTTTAAGGTTAGAAACTGAACTTGTCTGCTAAAAATGTGCTGCAAGGAGATGGCGTTCGAACCTCCTGTGGGGAGTGGGACTGATGGTGGTAGTAGTGCTGTCTGAAGTATGAGTCATCATGTCTTTGGCTGCTGGCTACCACATTGCTAGGACTGCACACTACAGTGCTAGCAGTCGTGGCTGAAGAGTTCCTGAAGGCTCTGGACGTTGTAGGGCTGTCTTGGTTGACACGTCTCTACAATGTTGCGCGGAGATCAGGGGCAGTACCCCTGGACTGGCAGGTGGTGGTCCCCATCTTAAAGAAAGGGGACCGGAGGGTGTGTTCCAACTACAGGGGAATCACACTCCTCAGCCTCCCTGGGAAAGTCTAAGCCAGGGTGCTGGAGAGGAGAGTCTGTCCGTTAGTCGAACCTTGGAAACAGGAGGAACAGTGCGGTTTTCGTCCTGGTCGTGGAACACTGGATCAGCTCTTTATCCTCTTGAGGATGCTTGAGGGTGCATGGGAGTTTGCCCAACCAGTCTACATGTGTTTTGTGGACTTGGAGAAGGCATTCAACCGTGTCCCTCGGGGGTCCTGTGGGGGGTGCTCCAGGAGTATGGGGTGTCTGGCCCATTGCTACGGGCCATTCAGTCCTTATACAACCGTTGCAAGAGCTTGGTCCGCATAGACAGCAATAAGTTGACTCGTTCCTGGTGAGTGATGGGCTCTGCCAGGGCTGCCCTTTGTCACCCATTCTGTTTATGATTTTTATGAAATTATAATTTTTATGAACAGAATGTCTAGGCGTAGCCAAGTGGCAGAAGGCTTTCACTTGGGTGGTCTCAGGATTTCATCTCTGCTTTTTGCAGATGATGTGGTTCTGTTGGCTTCATCGGGTGATGGCCTCCAGCTTGCCTTGGAACGGTTCGCAGCCGAGTGTGAAGCAGTGGGAATGAGAATCAGCACCTCCAAATTTGAGTCCTTTGTCCTCAGCTGGAAAAGGGTGGAGTGCCCACTTTGGGTCAGGGACGAGTTCCTGCCCCAAGTGGGGGAGTTTAAGTATCTCGGGGTCTTGTTCACGAGTGATGGGAGAAGAGAGAGGGAGATCAACAGACCAATTGGTGCAGCGGCCGCAGTGATGCGCACACTGTACCGGTCCCATGTGGTGAAAAGAGAGCTGAGTGTAAAAGCGAAGCTCTCAATTTACCAGTCGATCTACGCCCCTACCCTCATCTATGGTCACGAGCTGTGGGTAGTGACCGAAAGAACGAGATTGCGAATACAAGTGGCGGAAATGGGCTTCCTCCAAAGG